AAATGAATGAGCTGATTTTGGCCAAGAATAGAAATTTTTCCCAGAAACAGCAATCACAAATGATTTTTTGTAAAAAAAAAAAAAAAAAAAAAAAAAAAAAAGAAAAGGATAAAAGCCATCAAGACGAATTATAGTCCCGCTGTCAACTGCTGTCAAAGTTCGGCTGTTTCCACCCTGCTGTGTTGCCTAAATAAAAGTGGATTCGTGAGTCACGGGTAGATCTCTCAGCAGCTTATATACCGTAGATGCGGTCGAGATTGCCGTTTACCAATCAAATAACCCTGGTTTCTGTTCTCTGCATAGTATTATAAATGTGGCATCATCGTGTGGAGAAGCTGCATTTGCCCGAGAGATGAGCATCGGAGATTTTTGTTACAGGTGTTCTTTGTGTATGGTGATGTTGACTGGTGGAAATATTTGGGGGATGCGACTTATGCTGCGAACTCATGCAATCACTCTGTTAGGGTGGGCGCTTGGAAGACCGACGTTGAGTCTATTGTTAGGAAAATACCCCGTATAATATGAAAAGCGTTGCGCAAGCTATAACATTATAAGATTCTATCTAATGAAACCGTGTTCTCTCTCTATCTATGACGCCTAGTATAAATCATGACCTCTTCCCTGTCTCCGACTAATCTGCCTTGCCACAAGCAAGCAACTCGAACAAAACACTTAGTGGTGGTGACCACACTGACCGCCATGATTGTGGCTGTGGCCGTGACCGTGACCGTGACCGTGACCGTGACCGTGACTGTGACTGTGGCCATGATGGTGATGGTGTCTGTGTCTATGCTCTCTTTTCTTGACAATGAGATGGCGGCAGTCTCTCTGCAGCTCATCCAAGTTCACATTGTAATCCAGAGGTTCCTCAATGGTACCGGTAGTCCACCGCACAAACACGTCGTTTTGGTTTACATCCTCATCACGAGATAAGATCCAAGAGACGATATCGTGGCCGCGGGCTTGGGGCGAGACTTCAATCTCATACGTCTCTCCATATCGGTACCATCTTGAACCCTCAGTCTTATCAATTACCGTGAGAGTAAAAGGCTTGGGCTCTTCAGGTAGAGGCGGACCATAGATGTATTGGCCGTTGATGCATGGGGGAGCAAGCACATGTTTCCAACCGGGAATTTCTGTGGTGCAAGGAATCACCCGACAGCCATTGAGTATAGCGTTTTGCATAGCACTTTGCATACCGGTTGGCGCAGGAGGGTAGAAGCACACCAATTGTGGCCCCGATGGTTCTTCCTCCTTATCTTTTTTGGCGACATGTCCGTTACCGGGTCTTCGATTTTTGTAAAAGTCGCGACTGTCAGAGTCGTGATGGTGATGGTGGTCATGGTCATGGTGATCATCATCATGGTAACTGTCATAGCCGTCGCTATCGTAATCGTAAACACCGAGGGAACCTCGTCGTTCTCGGCGGCGTACGACCTTGCGCTTGTAGTAACGCTCTTCCGACTCTCTGTGGTATCGGCGAGACATCTTTGTGGTTACCGTTGACTTTTTCTTGAGGAAATCGAACATATAATTGAAGGTAAGAAGATGTTTGGACTGTGGCGATGGATGTAGCTGCTTCAGTGCGGATGCTGAGAGTCAGATTTTGTCCTTTCCCATGATGTCTTCTTCTTCTTAAATAATTCATCTTGGAGAGCTGGGCTTAATGTTTTTGCTGTTTTTGGAAACATTTCACTCCACGCCATGAAAACAAAAAGCTTTAATCATTCAAAAGCTGGGTGTAATAATAGGAAAAAATAATGCATGTGAACAGCTCTCTTTGAAGCATGTTGTTTGTGTAGCCTGTCGGATCGGCGAGTGGAATATGGAAATAGGTCAGCTAGTGGAGTGAAATTCGCGGTTCGCGTCATCCGGGAGGGAAGTCCTTGTGTTATTATGAAACTGCTACAAAGAGTGGTTGTTCCTACAATGTGGTAGAACCCAAGGCAGTGGTACTATTTACAGAGCTATGATTGGTCCTCATCAACACAAAGAGGCGCTTACACGGGAGAGCCTGGGTTTGCACGTGAACGCATCAGACATAAAGGGAAGAACAAAAGAGAAAGGTATTTGAGTTGCTATTTTGGTCATGCTTTCGATTTCGCTACTCCGATCAAACAATAAGAAGCCAATCTGTATGCCGAAACATGAGAAGCAAGCAACTCATTCGCCAATCGAAAGCCCCGGAACCAAAAAGAAGCTGAGGCGATTGGCGTTATCTTTATCTGCCTGGGAGCGGGGCAGCCAGATTCGGCCCCATACGCCACCCGGAAAAAAGGTGTTGCCCGCCCGGAAAAGGCCAGCGAGGCTTCCCCAAAAGTCTCCAACGGCGCAATTCCATCCACCAACTTTGTCCTTTGGAACCTCCATCTCTCTCACAGGCCAGCACCGAGGCTCTTCCTTTTTGTTGTTTGTTTGCAATTCCATTTTTAGTTGATTTGGAGCATCACTGCGCTTGCAGTCGTCGTCACAATGGGTATCAGTCCGCAAATGTAAGTGCGCCGAGTTGATTTGCTTTGTTTTGTCGTTCGTGGCGAAAAGGAACAAAGGGAGGAGAGAAGAAAGCCTCGTCGGAGGTGATGGCGCGAGATAATTGCCGCGTGACAGATGCGCATTCAATCGGTTCGCTAACTCCCTGGACCAGCACCAACCTGATGATCATCCTTGGTATGATGCAAGTCACCAAGAAGATCCCCTTTGAAGATGAGAACGTGCTCAACATTGTGCGCGCCATCTACATTGGCAGCAACCTCATCATCGCCGGTCTTTACTTCTACATCCAGCTTCAGATCAACAAGAAGAAGGGTAAGGGCAAATTCAATTCCCATTCCTCAGATTATAGCAGCACGCGAGACGGATCCTTGACGATCACTCCATTGTCGCCTGGCCATTCAACGATTGTTGCTAACATGGACATCTCTCTTTAGACATGACCACCCTCAAGTACGTTGAACCCGCACCGATGGGCTCTTCCGAAGAGGGCAAGCTCGTCACCACCACGATCTGCGCCTACGACCTCAACCAGCTTCGCCAGGCCTGGCGTGGCCAGCTGATGGGTGTCGCCATGATGTCGTTCATGCACCTTTACATGAAGTACACCAATCCCCTGGTTATCCAGAGCATCATCCCCGTCAAGTCCGTCATTGAGAGCAACCTCTTCAAAATCCATGTCCTCGGCCATCCCGCCTCTGGCGACCTCAAGCGACCTTTCAAGCAGGCACAGGGCTTCATGAGCGCCATGCAGCAGGGAGGCGGCTCCGTCCAGAGCGACAAGAAGGCTGTCGAGGCCGCTGAGAAGGCTGGCCGCGGCGGTGCCAAGGAGGAGTAAAAATGGGCATCTATAGGTTAGACATGGGATGCTTTGATGGGGCATGTCATAAAAGTGGCTCTTTGGGCGCGAATCTGGATTGAAACGTGTATTACCTTTATTTGGGACGTCCTGGACCATATCTATTAGCTTGTAATACCTAAAGTAATCGTCTTTCGCATACATGTATTATTCTCAGATGCAAACAACCCGGCGACGCGGCAGGCTCGAGATTCTCTTCTTTATCGAGCCCTAAAAACACTTCTGCCATTCAAGCCATGTTCTAGATGTTCCTTCAATTCCTTTGGACAGGATTCTGGAAATGTTTTACGTATAGCCAGCCTTTCAGGCTAGGCGCCACCACATGCCAAATATCGCGGTCTTATGTAATGAGTCAAGTCACGTTTTCTCGCGTTAAGTGGCGATTTGCTGTCTCGACCTTTGCCCCTCCAAATGGCGTCAACCGTGTTTGAAGAACCCTCACACTTCAACTAGCCCATATGTTCAATACCCTGCATAGGCCTTGAGCGGCCATTCTGCCTTGACGATTTATTACCCTCATTATACATTATACCCTTTTGTTTCTTTCTATCTTTGTTCATTCTCTTCAGCATTCACCATGGAGCGTCCAGTCACGCCCCCGGCTGCCTCGGAAAGACCGAGAGCTGCCTCGTCGCAGACCCCAGAAATGGTCAGACGCATTGTATGTTGTCCGCCGGCTTCATTGACGAATTGCTCGGCTGACTGGAATACCCGACATTCTATAGGGAGAAAGTCGGCTTCGTGCCAAAGCCATCCGCGAACAACGAGAAGCTGAACAGAGAGCAGCAGGAACTGCAGTAGCACTACCCAAATCGGCGGCTGGATTCATACCTACAGAGAATGTTCACGTTTCAAAACTTGCGAATGGAAAGCGGCCGTACAACGACATTTCAACTGGCGGCATTGCTGAAGGCAACAACCGCGATGGCCGCAACGTGGGGGATGAGGCGGCCTTGAAACCAGCGCGCAAGTTCACCAAATTTGTAGACTACAACATGAGCTCGATGACAGACACAAAAGGTGGCTTTCTTTCCATGGAAGACGATCCCAACAACTATGCGCTGGGCGTTCAGAAGCCAGGGCAGACAGACGAACAGAGACCAAAGGGAATGACTATCCAGGAGTGGGAGAAGCAAAAGACGATACAAAACTTGAAGAGACTAAAAGCAGGGCCTTTTGAGCCTGGCATTAGTGTTTTGGATGACCAAAAGGCGAGAAAAAAGTGCAGAGAGTGCAACAGCTTGGAAATAGACTTTGTGTGGGAGGAAGTCTTCCATATCTGCGTGTGCAACAATTGCAAGGATAAATACCCCGAAAAATACTCCCTATTAACAAAGACGGAGTGCAAAGAAGACTATCTTCTAACAGATCGTAAGCTACACTTCTTTTCTATCTTGAACTTTGCTTTAAAAGTCGCAGTACTGACGAAACGCTGATAGCTGAGCTGCGAGATCCTGAGTTGCTTCCTCATTTGAACAAGCCAAATCCGCACAAATCTCACTGGCACGACATGATGCTCTTTCTGCGTTTCCAGGTGGAAGAATACGCCCTTGGTACAAAATGGGGCTCAGCAGAGGCACTGGACGCGGAATATGAAAGACGGGAGACACAGAAGAAGGCGCGCAAAGAGGCCAAGTTCAAGGAGAAACTGCTGGATTTGAAGCGCAAGACGAGAACAGAAGCATTCCGACGACAAGCAGGGACGTTGGGCAACAAGAATGGGGCGCCGAGCAAGTTTGGCGATGCCGTGGGAGGAGGAGGCCGTCATGTGCACGAATGGGGACGGACAGTCGAGAACGAAGAGGGGATGACAGTCAAGACTTGCGTAACGTGCGGAATGGAGGTGGAGGAACTAGAATTCTGATCCAACGATGCGGCTTGGTGAACGACGCACTACAGATGGATCCAACTACATGACCTGGCTACTGTACAACATACTCTCTTGCAACGCAGGTCTGCAAGGTCTACTAACATGAAAGCTGAGGCAAACACGCTTGTCGGCTCAAGTCGACATCTTCTCACCGCTTGCCTAGAACCAGCCGTCTAACAAACAGCTTATAGCGATTGTTTGCCAAGAGCTCTCATCGGCCTTGGCAGCTGTTACCGACTTGAGACTGGGTAGCCAATCGAAGAGCCTCAAATTCATTGCGTGAGGGCTAGTGAGCGGCTTGTTGATGAGACGAGAGAGCAATCAATCGGACCGATGTCCGCTTGCTGCAGCATCATGATGTTGTACTCCAATGGAAGTGGACGAGTGCTCGGCTCGAGAATCACAACAGCACATACAAAACTCACACGCAGAAAAAGCATGGTCGGCGGCTACCGACACGTCACGACTACTAGTAATCGTCTGCGGATGCATGTTGGGAGGGCTTTACTTCTGGTGACCAACACTGCTCACTCAAAAAAACTCATCAGGATTAAGCGATCAGGGAGAGATTTGACTACACCGACATCATCTGCCAGATACGAAACGAAATTTAGAATGAATATGCACATTCCATCACACATCAATCACTCATACGCGGCTCGGAGAGAAAAATGACAGGTTACATTCTCTCTCGCCTCATACAGCTACTTTTGGCACTTGGCCTGCCGTAGGGCTGTGCCACGCTGATTCATTCCCCATTTCGGCTCCCGTGCTGCAGCAGCGACAAACACGGAGTAGAATCACCGAGAATGTACTGCTCCTTTTCGATGCACGGAGCAGCAGCAGCACTAGGTGCTCATAAGCTTATGCTGGGCCGCAGAGACCATCCGGGTCACCGGAACCAATGCCAACCTATACATGTGATGCGCCGATCGACCGCTATCCCAGTCTTTGGTAAGGTATTTTTGATCAGATACTCTGGCAAGCGTTGCGCGTTATGCTCTTTCTTTCCTACATCTGGTAGAATTATGTACATTTCATATTCAATCTTACAACGAATCACGATGGCTTGGAATGACTGACTTACAGCCTTGACGACGAGTGAGACGCCATGTCTTGTGATTGAATGAAGTTGCTGGTTGATACGAGCAAATGTCTGCCCCTCGTTGTCTTTTCAAGTGACAGTCTATAATTAGGTGGCGACGTTTGTTTAGCGATGTTCACTTCTCGTTATATCCGTTTGTTTTTCTTGCGCGCCTAATTCCTTGCCCATCACATAACGTACATACGAACATACGCAAAGCATTGATAACAGCATCCGATCACCTCGTCCTGCTCATAGACGAGATTAAGGAATGTCATCTTCTGGGCGTGTTCCCCTTTATTTTTACTTCTCTTTTCTGCAAATCTCGAAAACCAAATGTGCAACTCCTAGAAGCTATTCGCCTTCACAACGCCACTTTGAATTAAAACAGCTATCAGACAACGGTCAACAAAGGAGCAACTGAAGACAATGGCAACAGCATGCGCAAAGCGATCCAATCGCGGACGGTCCGATAACACTGTTGCAGGCTGAGTTCTCCACAGGGCCAACCAGATGACCAGGGGCAACAATAAACCCGTATGTGGCCTTGCAAATCGGAACCTGGTCCAACGCTCGGTTCCTGGTGCGCCCAGTTCTCCAATTCTCCATTGAAAAGGCGGCACAGAACGTCCTCTATCGACGCCGCTATTACAACACACACAAATTGCCAATGCCACCACTATTACGGAGCACTGCGCTACACTTACTCACGGCCTGGCTTCCCCAATGTTCCCCACGCGCTTGCGGCGCTGGAATTTCAAAATAGGTTCCTGCATTGGCTTTAGTACGGCCCCATTTGCGCAGCTGCGAGGTGTGAGGCGTGGTGGAGAATGGGTTTGAGCAAGGGGGTCGCTTTACCACAATCTTATCGGTAGACCCGGCCATCGCTGCCCATAACGCGTTGCCCGGCTTTTGCACGGGGTCGTGTTGCGACGGTGACAGAAGTCTGGAAAAACTGCTGTTGTTAAGGAGAGGGAGGCCGTGTAAGAGAAGCCCAGGCATGGAACACGGGCCGGGGTTGGGCAGGCCAAAGAAGGGCTATGCCTGCACTTGACCAGTGCTCCGTAGTGCTCACGGCCTGTTCCACACCCTCGACTGCGACGGGCGGCTGTCCTGAACGTGGGATGATGCTGAACGCTGTGACGTGCATCCCGTGCTTTTTGCTCCTCTTGGTCCCCGGCATGAGGCTCCTCCCATCGGTAATGTTAGCGGTGGCGTCGTCCGTCGTGCTGCAACGAGTGGAGCTGCCGTTGAAGTCGCCAGAGAGCAAGCTACTTGCTAGCACCAAGAGCTGTACGAGGTACTTTACTTGGCTATGGCTACAAGAACAGGGTGTAGCCCACCTCCTATCAGCATTCTACCTCGGCGCCTTTTGATACAGACAATGGTGCCTCGTCACTCATTCATATAGGCGTGGACTTGGATTTACATGGATGGACGGTAATCGGGCTCGCAACACGGCTTCCAGATGGGATTGGGGTCGATTGAAAACTTCGGCGCCGTAGCCAATCGAGTTAACTGGTCGCTAGCTGCCGTCGCTTGCTGTTTGTCTTGCCCTCAAGCTCTCTCGTACCCTTTGTTGTTGTTGTTGTTGAATATGATTGCTAACCCGAGAACCCTCCTCTGTTGCGTGTAGTCATCGTTGGAGTTCGCCTCGTCTGTCGAGCCACCTTTTCTCGCGGCACATTTGGCCGCCTCGGTCTCGATGACCTGATCACCTTCATCTGTCTCGTTATCCTCATCATCAGCTGTGCATTCGCCAGCATTGGAATCAACTACGGTCTGGGGCAGCATGAAGATACGCTCGATGCGTGGAATCTAAAAGAAGCTATCAAATGGAATGTCATCATCAACGCCGTCCTCATCTGGTCCTTTTCTCTTCCCAAGTTCGCAATTGTTGCCATCCTCAAACGCATTCTCGATTATGGAACCAAGACGACCATTTTGTTCTGGGGACTCGCCCTCACTAGCCAGGCCTGCTTTCTCGCCACGTCGGTATGGTGGTTTGCTCAGTGCACTCCCGTGGCCTACCAATGGGACAAATCTATTGAGGGAACATGTGCGCCTACGAGCACCTTGACAAAGCTGGCTTTCGCGACATCGGCCTTTTCCGCTTTCCTCGATCTCTTTTTCGCGCTATATCCCGTTCCATTTATCATGAGGCTCAACATGCCTCTGCGAAATCGAATCGCTGTATGCTTTGCTTTTGGACTCAGCGCCCTGGCTTGTGCTGTGTCTGTCTACAAACTTGCGATATTCCAGGAATTCTTTGACAAGATGGCCAAGGACCGAACATGTGAGTGCCAACTGACCGAGAGGAGGGAGAGAGTTATTGTGTGGAGAGAGAGCGCTAGTTGTACGGAAAATCATATGCTAATTGAGATCCTGCAGATTCAGTTCCCTATCTTGATATATTTGGTGTTGCCGAGGGAGCCTTGCTCATCATCGGCGCATCACTACCCACATTGGGTCCTCTCTTCCGGGTCATCAAGTGTAAAGTCACGACGTACGCCAGCGGCCACAGTGCGTCCCATCCTTCGCGCGATCGCAGCCAGAGCCATCCTGGAGACCACAGCACCAGCTGGCTGCACAAGCGGGGCCACCACGCATTCGACGACGAGGAGAATGTCTCGACGACAGGGATGCACTCCAGCGTTGATGACATTCCCCTCGTTTCCACAGCGAAGCCAGTCGCGAGATATCGTGAAGATCCCTTCAAGGATAGAATGTCCATCGATAAACCAGAGGGGTACTAGGCGGCCGCCCCAAGGCGCTGGGCCAGGGATAGTGATGACGATCATCTGACAAACGACCCAATTTACGACTCATTGCAATTTTTTTCCTTTGTATTTCGTGGATATTGACTAGCCTTCCCCTCTCCCTCTCTACAGGCTAAAGAGGGAGGGCTTGCAAGGGATTGAGGGATATGGGAGGCAAAAAAAGCCTAGCTCATTGGGACGGAATCCCAAGTTGACGCATCAGCAAGTTTTCTTATTTAACTTTTGTTGTTACTTCTTGTTTCGGAGCATGCGATGGAGACACAGGCCTGTACAGAACTTGAGATGGTGGTGGTCACCAGGACAGAAAGAGAGGGAAACTTGCAGCTCTGCAGGGGGCTAGTCAGGCACGGAGTTGGATTGCTGGGATTCAATATAAGGTGTAATGTCCGCATATAGTTGAGCTATCGTCATTTCGGGAATAGGGCGCCGGGAGTTGTCACTTTTTTTCCTTTGAAGCCCCCCCCCCTTGCCACTTTACCAGTTGTGAGGATGGGAAGCTGGGGCCGGGCTATTCGCTCCGACGAACGGGCGTAAATTATACCAGCTGGGGTGGAATCTATGGTGCTGCGGGCAAAATACAAGACAAGACTAAAAAATGTTTAATAACTGACTACCACCTATGGGGGGGCGGGGCGGTAGTGGTGGGTTGGTCGTTATAGAGGTATTAGTGGTATCAGTTACTAAGAAATAACAAATCACACACATGGCTGTCATGGCTGTCACAATCACAACTTCTGCCCCCAGATTTGAAGCTTAAAAACGGAAGGATTCCAATGCTGAACCAACTGGGGGGAAAAGAAATACACGGACGCTGTCTTTTTTCGCCTCGGCGAAGTGGCCTCTCTCGCCTTGCGGAGCTCTTCAGGCACCCCTGCTAGCTGAAGTCAAGCCGCCGTTGCAGAAGCTAAGCAAGAAAAGAAAAGCCCAGTGTGGGCTACAGAACGCAGGTACCAAGTTCGCTTGACAGGGGAAAGAGAAACGCAGGCCAGGGGAGGGGATACAACAAGGTGAAGGAATAAGGGAAGAGACACAGAGAGGGAGAGGGAATTGGGATGCACAGTATGCACGATGAGCTCTTTTAGGGATTTGTTTTTGGGGCGGAGGGCTGATCTGAGACATTTCCCTTTTTT